TTAGGTTTTCTCCAATGCATTTTTCTTGTTTCTCACCTCGGGCGATGAAAGCTTGGTCTTCTGCTCTCTTCTGTGCTTAAATTTTTCACTTCTTTCGGCGAGTTCCACCCTTTCGCCCCTTCATTACCTCTCTGGGGCTAAGCCAGATGAGGGTTGCCTCTCTCTCTCTCTCTGTCTCTGCGATGAAGCATTGATACCAACAAAACTACGACTCCACCGTTGGATTTCTGTTCATCAAGGATTGATAGATACTGGCGATCGGCGTGTGGTGGCTCGCTGCTCGTCTCTGTCGGCTGCATGCGTTACACTGCTGTACGCGGTGTACCGACGAGAGTTCTCGGTGTTCGCTTGGGGGCAGCTGTGAGCCGGAGAAGAGCCAAACACTTTATTCTTATATCTCCCCCAACACGGCTCATCCCCCCCCCAGTCTCTCACCTCCCTGCGTACAGCTCTTACACCCCACGCTGCATGCAGGCCTGGGGATGAAGGGGAGAGAGGGGGCGGCCGGCCCGTCACCAGTTGCAGCACACACAACTCAGCATAACTCAGCCCCTCCTTGCTGCGCTTGCATTCAGACTCTATACAAATGTTACACACGTCCTGGGCCTTCAGTAGCTAGCTAGCTAGCTAGCTAGCTAGCTAGCTAGCTTGCACCCAAGCAGAAATACAAATACAAAACGCCAGCAATACTAAGCGCCGCCTGAATCCTTCTAAACACTAAACCCTAAAAGCCTAAACCCCAAACCCTAAAACCCTAGGGGTTTAGGGTTAAGGTTCCCCCGCCGCCACCCCGCGGGCGGGGGCCGTCTCCCCCTGCCTGGCATCTCTAAGCAGAAAGATGAAGAGCTGCAAACCCTAAACCCTAAACCCTAAACCCTAAACCCTCAGGTTTTTAGACACGTGGCGGTTCAGGCTGACTTCGGATGCCCCCTATAATAGTCAACCGCTAAACTCCTAAACCCTAAACCCTAAACCCTTAGAAAAGGGTTTAGGGTTTAGGTCTTTCGCGTCAGTGCAAAGACGAATTGCTGTAGCAACAGAAGGAGGGAGAGAAAGGCAGACACCGCCGGTGTTTGTCCCCCCTCTTTATTTTGTTTAGTTGAGGTGTAGGGTTTAGGGTTTAGGGTTTAGGGTTGAGAGACACGAGGAGAGACAAGCGAGAGATATATATAAAAATAAAGAGACAAAGATAAGTAAAAAGAATTAAAAAAAAGAAGAGAAAAATACAAGCAGAGCCCGAGTAAAGCAACTGCTTTCTTTTTTTTTTTTGGTGTTAAGGGTTTAGGGTTTAGGGTTTAGGGTTTAGAGTATATTATCTTTAGCTAGGGTTTGTATAAGAGAATCTGCGTGTTCTCTATGAAGCAACATTTCGGGTTTTATGTGAAGTTTTGCTGCTATCTGCATGCAGCAGTCGATGCGATCGATGCTGAGTTTTAGTCCTCGTCTAGCTAGACAGCTAGCTACGTTTCTAGCCATGGCTAGCTGGCGACGGAGATGCACTGGGATAAATATATCGGAGTCCTGCTGCTGCTGCTGCTGCTGCTGCTGCTGCTCCTGCTGCTGCTGCTGCTGCTCCTGCTGCTGCTGAGGAGAAACGCCGTCACCAGACCCAGGCAACACCGCAGTAGGAACACTTATCCACAAGTAACCTGCATACACAAACCCTAAACCCTAAACCCTAAACCCTAAACTCCAAGCCTTGTACACAAAACCCTGACCCCTATCCCCCACTCCCAAACCCTAAACCCTAAACCCTAAACCCGAGTTAAGAATTTAGGGTTTAGGGTTTACTAGGGTTTACCTCTACTGCACCCCAACGACAACCCCCCCCCAGAACCCCCCTCCT